GGTCTGGAGGTAAGGAAAATATCACATTACGGACTGCTATTTCTTCATGATAAATCTAAAAGGAGTAAATCGCAAGAACAAGCACCATGTCGAATACCCCGATGTTCCTTCTGCCATAAGACCAATCCGTTATGGCCCAGACCTTCCTGTTCCTGAGCCAGATGGTAACATGGAATATAGCTCCGATTTCGAATATAGTGACATGAGTGTTGTAGCTGTGGATGACGCATACAAGCCAGAAGAGTCTGACACGAGACCTGAACCTTTGAAAGGAGTCTGCTCAGCTGCTGGGTTCACGTCTCAAAGAGAAACATCTGTTGACACCCGGAGCAACGTTCTACTGGTATCGAGACCGTCAAAGAGAATTAAGACAGTTTTTCACATTCCAGGAGAAGACATCATTGGTTTATTGCAATAACATTGCTGGATTGATCAAATGAATGGGCTTAGAGTATAATGCTATGGAATGGAGACATTTTATTGACTCATCCAACAGAAGTCTCAGAGCAGTTCTTCTACATAATGGGAATAGTTTTTCATCTATCCCTGTTGAGCATTCAGTACAAATGAAAGAAACTCACGACAGCATGGATCATTCGTCGTCTGCTTTTAACTACCAGAAGCACAAATGGTTGATCTGTGGAGATCTTAAGGTGGTTGGACTGGTCCTAGGGCTCCAAGGTGGGTACACAAAGTATCCTTGTTTTCTGTATCTCTGGGAATGCCGGGCTGACGATCAACATTATGTCAGACAAGAGTGGTCGTTATTCAAGTTAGGAGTAATAATGGACAGGGAAGGCAGCGGGTCTGCTTTCCTCCAGAAGAAGTTTTCACAGATAAGCATGGAGAGACTCATGGTTGGTATATTTGACGGCCCTCAAATAAGAGAACTCATGAAGGACCCCATGTTTGACGAAGCACTGAACGAAGCTAAAATGTCCGACTGGCAGTCACTGAAGTCAGTAGTTACAAAATGTCTGGAAAATCACAGGAGTGTGGAATACGAGAAGGAAATTGAAGAGCTACTGAAGAGTTTTCGCCAAATCGGGACACGAATGTCAGTTAAACTGTACTTTCCGTGGCCACACTCGGACTATTTTGCAAAGAATTGTAGAGATTTGAGTGAAGAGCAGGGTGAGCGCTTTCACCAAGACATTCGCATTATGATAGAGAGCTACCAAGGCCATTGGAATGTAAACTTTCTCACTGACTACTACTGGTGCTTGAAACGGGATGCAGTGGTTGGTGAGCAAAGGAGGAAGTCCCTGAAAAGGCCACCCATCCATGAATAGCTTCTTTTGTGTATTTTTCAGTTTACTATGGCACAATGTGAGCTTTCTACGAATATATCAGACCTAGATTTAACATAATTTCTTTAATTCAACAAAAAAATAAATTATAAAGTTATAATACTGCTCTATACATTTCAATTAAGAGCTTGTATCTTAAAAATTTGATCTGATCAGAAAAAATGAGTATGACTTTTGGATTCAGCGTTAAAAACAGGCTTAAAATCAGCTATTATATAGTCGACCTTGAAAACATCACAGGTGGAGTAATGGATAGCGGCTTGAGGCGAGTTCGAATTCCAGTCGAATCCATTACATTCACTTACATGCTAATAGCATTGGGAAAGGTATGAATCCTCTTCTTCTCCCTCCAGCTATGGGTAAATAGCAGGACAGACTGGCTTCTATAGTCTTGGATGGCAACTGGTCTAGGAGAAGGACAACTCTGAATTCAAAACCTGCGGAGAGTCGTTTGGGGACCTTGTGGCACTAAGTGAACCAGGTCTGTATTCGTCCCTTCAAAAAGTGTGGATGGTCCTGCACGAAAGCTTCACCACTATAATCAAATCTCATGTGCTCTTGTCGTGCTGTCGGTTTCCTGGTAACTGATCTGCTTGACCCTCATACGTCGAATTCGACGGGAGAGTCGACTATATATATATATATATATATATATATATACACACACACTTTATTATAGGATATCAGGTGGTTGTTAGTGAAATATTAAAAATTGTAATAACTTCACTTACAACTGCCTGATGAGATGCTTTGATGGGCATCGAAACATGGATGAATTGATGTAGCGGGTACATATGCCCGGATGTAATAACCTATAATAAAGAATTATCGCTCTACTATTGTATCGAGCCCTATTTTTAAATTAATGTATGAACGTATATTTAATTCGTGTATATATCTATATATAAAGAGATTTTTCCTACTGCCACACCAAGACAAGATGACTTTAAAGAAAAGGACCATATTTTTATTATTAAAATAGATACAAAAGTATCTCGTTTAAAACAAAAAGGATTTTAGACACCTTTCGGTCGACACTTCCTCGGAAATAGAATCGTCGGCAATGAAAAACAAAGATGCTGACAAGAAAAATTATTATCAACGACTGTATTAAAATAAATTACCCAATAGTCATATGAAGGGGGTGGGAAATTATGACTAAATATGTTCCCAGTCAGGCAGTGCTTTCTCTGAAAAGGGGTCAACTTAAATTCCATCTCCCGTTGTCTACACAGGGCAGGACGTTGCATATTAATGACAATAGGCTCCAAGATGTGTAAGTGGAGTCTCGTAATGGCGCTGTGTATGACAGAAAAGATGTCAGGAGAATAATTCGTCATACAAGCAACAGAATTTAATAGGTGCTTACCAATCACAGACTCATGAGTTTGCGAACACCCGGAAGTAATAGGTTCATGTCTTCGCACCTTGCCCGGAACATGCTGGGCGATCTTATACCTCTAACCGCTGAATGGTCTTGCCCACACAGTCGATCTTACATCGACATTTATATTGATATATAACAGAACTTTGTTGACAGGTAGGCAAGACATCCTTACGGTGAGGGGGGAAAACCTTTTTCTTAGTAAAAATACTTCGAACATTAACAGCATTAAAACACCGTTTAATTGAATTAACAATTCTGTCTGCATATGTTTGACTCCCAGTACTAACCCACGGACGTTTCAAATAGACAGGAGAATTAGAGGGACCATATCTCTGAGACGCATTGAACTTATTGATCTTTTGTTCAATGGTGGCTGTCAAAACACATTCAGGGTAACCGTTCATTCATAAAAGTTGATTAAGTTTCTTCAGCTCAGTGTCGAGTCTACATTCAGAGCACAACATCAATGCATGGTGAGTAAGGGTCCTAATAAGATTAATCTTCCTGGATCCGGGTACAAAAGAATCCCAGGTTAAGTAAAGCCTAGAAAAAGTAGGTTTACGATAAACACTGGTAAGATAACCTATAGGTGTTCCCGCTACTAGTACATTAAAGAAAGGAAGCTGATCATTCTCTTCTATCTCTGTTGTATATTTTAGACAAGGATGGAGATTATTAAGCTGAGAGAGAAACTCCTCCGCTTTACCTAAAGATGAAAAAGACGTAAAGGTGTCATCTACATAGCGGAAGTAGCAATAAGATTTATTTATCTTATTAAAGATCTGTTTCTCATAAAAGCCAACAGAAATGTTGGCCAACAGAAGACCCAAAGGACGACCCATCGCTACTCCATCTATCTGCTGATACATGCAGTTGTCAAAACTGAAGGAGACAGACTTCGTAGCCATCTTCATCAACACTCTCAGGGAAAGATGGAGACGTTAGAGGGCCACGATATAAAAAGTCCGCACAGATCTCAATTGTTTCATCCAGTGAAACATTAGTGAATAGACTAATTATATCGAACGATACAAAAATCATAGTACCGAAATTTGGTTTCAGTTTGCGCATACACTCAGCAAACTGAAAAGAGTCATACACACAATATTCAGAATAGAAAATTAAAACAGGTTCTAGAACTTCATTAAGCCCCTTAGCCAAACTATGTTGGGCTGAACCCACTATGGACAAAATCGGCCTTAGTGAAACGTCAGTTTTATGTATTATCGGCAATCCATACATCCGAGGACGTTGGGAGTCTACATGACGGATAGTATTATAAACTTCTTTCAATAGAAACTTACTTTTATGAAGTTCCAACAATCTCTTTTGTAATCGAACTTCGGTTTTTGCGGTATCGTCACAAATGACATCTCCAATTTTCCGAAATTTACTACTATCATTTAAGATTAATAGCATTTTGTTGATATAGTCGGAATAATTTAATGTTACAACGCTCACACCTTTGTCAGGCTTAGTCATATAAATGTCAGTCTTTTTCAATTGTTTGGTCAAATGGTTCCTCTGCCAAGTGAAACCCCAAGAATCAATATAGGAATTGGTTAAGCTATACGCTAAGTCTTTCAGTCGTGCTTTAAAACGAAGCAAATGCTCCTCACAAGAGAAATATTTTTTTCGACAACAACGGTCAAAGGTTTACGCACAGCATTTGCAAGCCTGCTAAGAGTGAGGGAGGAAAGGTGAAAATAGGAGAGAGTAAAATTTTCGGGTCGAGCCATCATTTTAACAAATCAACAGTCCTTCACCAAACTGCTATCAACAAGCGATATTGTTTCACTGTCACTCTTTTGCCTTTCCTATCTTTATTTATCCTCATATGTTCCCTCTTAAAATGTATTTTATTTTTTTCCAAACAAATGGAAAAAAGGAAGTGACGTTCCACATGCGGCTTGCTTACAAACAGAATTGTTCATAACCGTTTTGTTTCTTACCAGTCGAGGTGCAACTAAATGCACCGGAACGAAGTTGCATCTTTGTAGTGAGTAAATTGTTTTTGGCTATATGAAAAAATTATAATAAATAATTACTGCTCTGTTATCGGTATTGAACCCTCTTTTGAATTAATGCTGTGAACGTTAGAATATATATATTATGTTCGTTCTCATTATATATATATATATATATATATATATATATATATATATAGGAGAGAGAGAGAGAGAGAGAGAGAGAGATAAGTTTCCCGGAAAGTAATGACGTGGCTTTTTGCCCCTTTCCTATCGACAGTTAAACCCTCTTGACCCAGAAAGTAAGGACCCATTTACGGGTTCTCCTTGCATAATTCACATTTCTGTGAAAAAGTCGGTGTGCGTATGGGCGGGAAGGGCGCATATCAGGACGATGTCTCCCACTGATTTCTATTAGAAAATAATTAAAAAAATACGCGCCTTGTTTTCTTAATTCATTAAAAGGTAGCAAAGTAGTTGTTACTGGGTCGTCATCATGAATATTAAATTACTTTTGTTGCTGACGTAATTCTTTTTCTTTTAAAGGAAGACATTGGCTCGCAAGCCTAGCTTAATTGATAAAAGTCTTTCTGGTTGCTTCCCAATTATACCGTATAACATATGAAAGCAGTTTTTAAAAAGATTACCCTAATTAATCTATTATTAGACTTAGATGTTTGAAATTAAACGCCATTATGATTTTGATTCTGGGATCAAACTTTCTCAGATTGACCCACTTTCCGTAATTCAGTATTCATATAGTTGGTCATTGAAAGACTGCCTTACGGGAAGTGAATTGGGTTGAGTTAGGCACTTTTAAGCGCCCCGACCTTTATGAAAAGATATGGTCTGTTCCAGTTTTGTAAAAAGACATTAGCAAAGATCAAATAATTAACAATTAGATGAGTCAGTCAAATACTTACAATAATTAAATTATTATTAATTTAAAGCACGACGTCAGCATGGCGCCACGGAGGAGATTATTTCCCAATATGCAACGTTTCTTTGTTTTCTTATTCAAAGTGATGGAACGTAATAAATAAAAAAAAACAACAGTTAATAATGCAATGATGTAGGATTTATATATTTACCTAGTCTCATAATGCTGTTATACATTAAAAAAATCAATTTATCTCAACATTTTTATTTAGACGAAGAATTATTATATGCCTTGTTTTTCGGACCAACATCCCCATCTTGATTGTTATACCCAAAATGCCTCGTCTTGTGATTATATGATTGAGTTCTTATACGTTATTTTTATAGATACAATTTCAGTAAATGCTTCGTTATTGATTAAACAGTATTAATTGCATTTACCGGCCTGAATGTTCAAGAAATTTCGTAGAAAATATGCGTTCTCCATTTGACTGTACCATTCAGCTACTGAGAAGCGTCTAGATAGCAAAGTCCGAATTACTGTTTATAAACACACATTTTCGACGATTTTTCTCGATCTATCATTTCTGCTCACGAAATGTATCTTAACGTAAACAATGACAACATATTATGAAATGGATTAAGTCCGAAAATTATTTACTATATTTTTGTTTATAACGTTATTTTCATAGATACGATTTATTTAAAGTAAATGCTCTGTTTTTATATATTTATAAACAGTAATTCGGACTTTGATAACCAGATGTTTCGGCTGCATTGGCATAATAAACACTGTAAGTAGTTACAATAGTTCACCCCAGAAATATATAAGAAATAATTGTATGTATATGTGTTCGAGTATGCATAAAAATGCTCTATGATGTGTGTGCGTGTGTATGTATGCAGAAGTATATATCGGTGTACATATATATACAAGTATACAAAAAAGGCTTTAGTATATGTATATGCTTGAGTGGGTGTGTATGTATGTACAAGTGTGTGAAAGTATATATACGTATATAACAAAAAAAAGAAAAAAAGAAAACAAAACAAAAAACAATGATTTAAAATCTAACAATGCTAAACGGTCTAATATAGATGAAAACAATCAAACAAAGGGACGAAAAAACAACACTCTTAAGTTTGGATATTGTGAGGTGATAAGCTAAGGTAATTAATTTGATTTATGATTCCCACTTATCCTCAGGGATCCCAAGGCATTTTCCTCACACACAGTTTTCTTTCTTTCTTTCTTTCTAACGTGAGGATGCCAAAGAGAACGTCGTTAATAAATACCTCCTACATATTGGTAAGATATTAGTGGCAATGGTGTCTTATCATTATGTGAAAAGTATAAAAAAAAAGAAAGAAAGAAAGAAAAAAACAGGATTGAATAAACAAGTCTGATTCTAATAGTCCTGCTTGTACGATCAAGAAAAATGTTTTGGCACTTACCTTCTCACCGTCGTTTCCAGGAAATCCATTAATGCCGATTTTCCCGCGTAGTCCCTAGAAACGAAATAAACACGACACAAAAATTAATCCAATGCAAATTTTGATACAAAACGCTGGTTAAATAAGAATAGTCATTCATTCCACATATATTTTTATAGATTTGGGCGCCTCGGTGTAGTGCAATGGTTAGCAAGATTGTCTCGCTAGATCAATTAAGACTGAAAAGTGAGTTCCACATCTAAGCGTAGCTTAGAAAATAACTACTTTTATAGATTTATTTTAGGTTGCGGATCTTTTCTGTTAATTCAGCCCCAAATAAAAAGAATTTATCTTTATTTTGAGTGAGTGAGATATATATATATATATATATATATATATATATATATATATATTGCATGGGATGAATGCGGGCTTTATTTAATATTTGCAATAAGTAACTTTACATTATTTGGGGGTGAATTAACAGTAAAGATCCTAGGAACGGTGCCATAACCCGTTCAACTGTCAAACTCTCTGCCTGGGCAGAGAGGAACCCGAACGAGGCTTTGCCGAAGGGAAAGTTTCGTCCGGGGTGGTAGACAGACCCTGAAACCGTTTATACGGGTTCTAAGGGAATATTTTTGGCCGAGCCTACGGGCTCGGAGAACCCACAATAAACTCGGCCTTGTGCCACATACATCCCTCGTTTGGGAGGGGGGGCTGTTAAATATAACTGAACAGTAAAGATCCTAGGTTGCAGAATCATAGAAAAAAAAAGCGGTATTTTGATGCAGGATTTGGCCAAACAGACAGGTTCATATTTTGACTCTAAACATTCTTATGCCTGCACCTGAAATAAACAAATATGAATAAAATGCCGGTTTTTTTTTTTAAGTCTTTTTTTTTCTTGAATAGAGCCTTTATTTTTCCTCTATTTCGTTTTTAATAAGGCAAATAGTAATGTCTTCCAATATGAAGAATAATTGTCCGTTTTTTTTTGTTTTTTTTAGAGAACATAGGTTGATACTTACTCAAAGATTCACAAATGCATCCTCTCAAATAAAACAGAATTAAGTAAACTCAACAAATTACGCAGTACTTATTTCAATTAACTGCGTTACTTAAAACGATTACTTTGCTACTTATATAAATGTAAAATAGTCCGAGTTGGCAATAATGTGAGTTGGAGATGGCTATAAAAAGACACTGTTGATTATTTACGACTAATTTGCTTAAGTAATGCACTGACTATTGTTTGTATCATATGCCAATAATTGCAAATAAAATGATGCACTAAAATAAGTAACAAAGTAATCATTATTTTAAGGCCAAATTTTTACCCTTTCAACTTTCCTCAGACATTGTAAAACGTTCTGATTCAATTGACTTTGATGCATGGCTACCTTAAGACAACAAAGATTTCCTCGTTTCAGAGAAGAATATATCCATAAACGCAACAAATGACACAGTACTTATTTCGATTAACGCGTTACTTAGAACGATTACTTCCCTACTTATGTAAATGTAAAATCAATCTTAGTTGGCAATAATATAAGTGACAGATGTCCATAAAAATACGATGTAAAGTTATTATATAAGCGCAACAAATTACAGAATACTTATTTCGGTTTACCTCATTACTTAGAACGATTTCTTTGCTACTTCGGTAAATGCAAAAAAAAAAAAAAAAAACGAAAAAAAAACGTCTAAGTTGGTAATAATATAAGTGATATAAAAAGGCACTAATCAATATTTTAAGGATTAACGCAAGACAGATTATCGGATTAAGAAAAGAACGTACGGATGGCATAACGGCTATAATGAGGGACTGATTTGTTTTTTATGAGCTATCAACCCATTACAGGTTATTTAAAGTCTGAAATATTTTTAGATTGTAAGAATATTTTGGAGATATATAATAATGATTTACTGACACAAAACCTAGTAATTAACCCATAGCTGGGGTGGGGAAGAGGTGGATTCATACCTTTCCCCAAGGGTATTTGCGCAAAAATAAATATAACAATTATTAGATTTGGAACTCGGCTCCGAACTCCAGTTCAGAGTCATTATCCGCTACACCACTCGCACATCCAAGCTTACATCACCTGGTATTCCCAAGCTGTCACCCATCTAAGTACTGACCAGGTTCAACGTTACTTAACTTCGGTGATCGTACGTTTCAAAGTGGTATGGCCGTAAGCCGTTAATTTCTTGTAGAAGTCCCACATATGTCTTCATGCCAAGGTAAGTTTAGTAGATATTATTAGGATACATGGTCGCAGAAAAGTGGTCAGTACCGTTATTAATGAAGCGTGTTCGATTCCTACACAGACATTATAAAGAGTTGATGTCTTCCGCTGTACCATGTTAAACATAATAGATATTATTTAAAGCTGGCACTTGAGTGTGTTGCCCACCAGTACCAGAACTCGGTGTTTGAGTGTCAAGTTAAAAGTGCTGATCCTCAAGATTGAGTTTGACGTAACGCAATTTTTTGTCCGCTCTTTTCTTCCTACCCCTTTGTGCTAGGAATCTTTTTAAATAATGATGAACGCAAAAAAAAAAAAAAAAAAAAAAATGGAGAGAAAGTCGACAGAAATTTAAGTCCTGACAGCTTGGGACTAGCAAAGAAAATAAAACATCTGTGATCACTGGAGTATTTGTGTCGAACAAAAAATATTTGGAAAAAAAAATCTTGTAGCTATTTGATTGTGAATTGGAAATAGATTACATTGCATAAAAGTTCGCTCATTCCGGAATAGCAAGAATTCTTCGTATGCAGTTTGTCAGTCAAAAGAAAAAAAATCAGTTTATTTCCATAAATCACGAGTCGTGATCTGAAAATAAACTTTGTAAATTTTACTATTACACTAGTCTCCCTTTAGAAGTGGAATTTATTTCCCCCTATGTATTTTTTTAACGCTTTGAACGAATCTGTTCTTCAAAGGAGTCGAAAAATCACTCGTTTTTTTTTCAGTTCCTCCCCAGGAGTTTTCGAGTGGGGGAAACCATATATTCTAAGACATTGTTCTCCTTCGTCTTCCTCTAGGGGAAATTTATGTTTTTCTTATGGTTTTTGATGTGTTTTCACGTCGTTTTTTGAGTTTCTCTACGGAAGTTCTCGGATGAAGTAACCACAGAATCTTGATATCGAGTCGTCTTCTGAGACTGATTTTGTTTGGTGGTACTAAACGAATGAGTAAACCGTTGGTCGGTTATGGCATTAACAGGCTCTATTTGATAGTCTACTGCTGAGAAACGCTTCTGAGATTTTTTTAAAAACCTATTTTAAACGAATCTGACCTTAAAAACTGCCGTAAATTACTTTTTTTGTGGTTCCCGAAGCTGAAAACTAAAACACCAGGTCTTACAAGGGTTTTCCAGCTGGAGTATTTTTTATTTTGCGAAGGAACTAAAAAAAAAAAAAAAAAACCCCAAAAACTCCGAGTCATTTCTGACGGTTTTGAAGATCAGATTCGTTCAAGAACATTAAAGACAATCAGAAAAATGTAAATTTTATCTCCGAAGGGAAACTTGTGTAATGGTAAAAAAAAGAAAAATGTAAACTTACCAGCAACCAAATTTCCTACTCAATCATATAATAACAATAAACAAACAAGAGTATGTTTTTTTTTTTTTTTTAATACAGTCCTTGTTTCTGTTCGTCAACTCTTTAACGCGACAGACTTGACAGTCCAATAATAAATTGCTTTCCGTGATCTTTAATGTGACATTTTTAAAAGAACAAAATTGCAATAGACACCAGTCCTTCATTCAAGTCTGTTTAATTATTTAAAGAAAATTAAAAAATTACACCTTGCAACAGGCGTAGGAAAGGTGAGACCCCATTGAAAAACTCAGATCTTATAAAAATAAAAAAAGAAATATTCCTACAGGTAACGTTGACTTTTTCTTTTTTTATTCAAGCTTCGAACCTAACAGTTTATAGCAGAGTGGTGAAGTTATCAATTCGTTTTACAAACATCAAGCCAGATTCGAATGAAGCATATACATTTAAATAGGTACCTCCACGAGATCGCTAAAAAAAGAGCATAGCATGATGAAAAAGACGCCAAACTTGACGAAAACAAAATTTTATCGTCTAAATGTTTATTCATTAAGAGGAAAGGTCAAAAGTATTTTTGGGGTATTTTTTTTCCATTTTTAATCGTTCCTAGCACGTCCGAAATTTTCGTTAAAAATCTAGTTTTTTTTTTGAGTCAGCAAAATTGACCATTTTTTTTTTCCATTTTAAAAAACTTGAAATCTGATTTTGAAATTTTTTTTAAATATCAATTATCATTTTTTCAAAACTTATTTTAAGAAAATCAGAAATTATAATGTTTATTTAAAATATTTTGAACCAAACTTAACTTAGCTTAGCTTTTGTGCCAAAAAGATGTAATTTGAAAATAAAACAAAGCAGGTCATAAACTTTCGCGTCTCTTGACATGTGATGAATGATATATTTGCGAATTCCATGAGGCTAATTTGTTCTACGGAAGGAGAAAAGTGAAATAATTTACATTTACGTGAACAAATTATTTACCCCGTTTTTTTTTAACGAAAACTTTCAGCGGTCTAATTTTTTTTTTTTTTGTACTTAGCTTTCACCTTTACGTTTATGATGCTTTATGGGAAATATATTCTAAAGAAATTAAAATAAAACTGTTAAGAGTGACATTAAATTTCATATTTCTTAAGAAAAGTATCTAATTAATTTATAGGTACCTTTCTTATGAAATTTTATCAGAATTGTACATAAAAATACTATAATTTTATGTACATTTATTACATTCTACTGTTATTTGTATTTGCATTCATTTTATTATTAATTTTGATATTTCATTTATGGAAAAATGTCGTAACTGAGATTAATATAAAAATAAGATCATATAAATTTCATAAGATGATACTGATACTTGTAGGTACCCTTCTCAGTTGAAATTGAAAAAATTAAATTAACTTCTCCCACGTGTTTCGCAAAAGTAAAGGCCTTAACAGCGGAGAACAATGCTTAACTCAAATAACGCAACTTAATTATATTCTGGTTGGTCTTCCGTATTTTATAATTACAGCTCGATTATAAGCACAAAATTACATTTCTTAATTACTGGGGATCTTCTGATTAGTCAAAATGATACAATTTACAACGCGCTAAAAAAGATCTATCTCATAAGGACACTTATGAAAGCCTGTGCGGCTTTTTAACTAATTTTATAATATTTTTAACAACTTAAATGTAAAATCTATTATAATTAATGAAATAACAAATAATTGTATTAAAAATTCATTTTTCATCGAAAAATTTTTTTGCTTTCAGAAAATATTGTCCATATTCATAAAAAACAACTAAAAGCAAATAAAAGCATTTGAAATTAAATAATATCTTTGTTTTATTGAGTTTTGTATGTTACAATTCAGAGCTGATTTTCAGGTACTGCGTATCCAATTAAAAACAAAAAAAAAAAAAAACATGATTTTCATTCCTCAAAGCCCTGTGCTTTTAATTATTGTAATCACTAAAACCGATGCGACTGAATTTCTAGCGTTTTCATAAAATTAGTTATGGGGGGGGTAATAAATATTTTTTAAAAATATTTCTACCATGACTTTCATAAAAAAAAAACATATTTATAATAATTTCGATCATCTGTGAATAGTTCCTGAAAGTTTCATTAACATCCGATAATTATTTCTATTTTTGCACGATTTTTCAAATTAATGTGTGTCATACCAAAAAAACGTGCTAAAAATTGTCTATGTTATTTACTAGTTCCGCTGATACAAATAGAAACAAGGTTTTTTTAATCAAAATTTAGAATTTTCTAAAAGGAAAATTTTTAAAATAATTAAAAAAACTTTGGTCTTTTCCTCTAAATAATAACATAAGCATTTAGACAATAAAATTTTGTTTTCGGCAAGGTTGGCGTCTTTTTCATCAAGCTATGCTCTTTTTTTTTAGCGATTTCGTGGAGGTACCTACATTTAAACCTAAATGTAAGTATTCTGCAAATTTTCAGTGCGAACTCAGCGCGGGTGCTAAACTGCAATTTAACCGCACGTTCTTTAGGCCTGACTACAATGCGAGAATCAACAACAAACAAATGACATACCTACCATTTTGGACAAGCTTGTCTCGCTAGATAAATTACGACTGAATAGTGAGTTCGATCCTCACTGAGTGTGCCATACATTCGGCCTTGTACCACATCTACGCTATGTTTAGCAAATCACAATACCCCCGATCCACTTGTGAATATTTATTTCTGTTGATACAGAAAATGTGGCACAAGGCCAAAAGGTGGGCAGATGAGGAAGGCTGGTCTTCAACTATCCAATCTTTAACAGCTCGCCTCAATCTCCGACCCAAACGTACTATGATTTTCCTTACACCAAAACAACACGTTCATTCGTACTACAGTTACCATAATACCACTATTTCTCTATCAAATCCTAATTAATCCACAAATGTACAGTTTACCTGTGGAGAGAAGGAACAATTGCCTTTAAAAATCTAACACCAAGATCTATTTTCAATGATCAAAATTCCTATTTACAAAAATTAAATAAAATAGTGTTAGTAATAAAAGTTTCCCCAATACTAAATTGTGGCAGAAACAAAAATGAAACAATCACTCTGCAAAACAACAATAAATACGAAATGCGTACCCACTATCTTCCTGCGATTTTCAATTCTTCTGTTCATTCTGTTATTAAAAATGGTTACCAAATTCATCTTAACGGACGTAAGTTTGAGTACTTGACCACTATTCTATGGTGCGTGAAACGAATGTCCTTTTTAGCACTTCCTGAATTTAGTTTGTCGCAAACTGGAAGCACAAAATGAAATTCTCTCAATTAGCAACAATCTGCGAGACTAAATTATTAAAATTGTTCCATAGTTAGGACTTTAAAAACACTGTTTCTTCTTTGATCACTGAAGTTAAGCAGCATCGAGCCCGGTCAGTACTTTGAGGAGGGGTACACTAATCAACATCCAACAATCCGATATATCTTTTGTCTTTAAATAACCCAAAAAGGATTGATCCTTTTCTTCATATGCCGTGTCCCCATCCAGACGTAGGCGATCATGACTCTCCACAACTTCCTGTCCCTTGTAGGTCTTAATAAACTTTGTCTTTCTTTTTTTAATCGCTGTCACCCTAAGCAAGGTAGTACAACCACTAACATGCAAG